GAACTGAACCCAGATGTCTTGCAGCCAATTCAGGGCTTGATACACCAGACCATACTTCTCTTGCCTGTTTGACCTAGAGTCTTGCTCAGTCTCAAAGGATGCTCTCTGCACATTGCATGTCAAGTAAGGATTTATTGTCATCATCTGAACAACCATCTAATTCCAGCCATGATCCCTTCCTGGTATTGGATGTAAGATGAGCAGAGCGGCTCCTTTATCTGTTCGTTGTTTTTCTGAATTCATAATTCTATAGCAGTGGTTTTCAACCTTTTTTCATTTGCGGACCGCAAAAAAATTTTGAATGGAGGTGCAGACCCCTTTGGAAATCTTAGCCATACTCTGTGGGCCCCCAAGAGTCCACGGACCAAAGATTGAAAACTACTGTTCTATGGTAATGACAACCTTCCATGGATCCCTTATACAGAGTCTGTGGACCCTCAGGGGTTCACAGGTTCAAAACCATTGTTCTATAGTATTGTTAGTGAGTAGTCTTAGAGAGAGCAGGAAATAAAGGCATGTCCTAGCCTTGCTAGGCTACATTTTAAATGTTTCACCTTGGAAATGATGGGCTCTTTGTGAGGAATGGCGTCTCTGGTGCCTTGAATCTGCACTTTCCTTTGCTCTAGGACTCAGAAGGGGTGAGAAAGGCCCTATCAGGAAGAAGTTACAGCTCCCTAGTTTGCACCAACAAGAGGTTTCCTGCCTCAGCCTCAGTGAGAGTCTTCAAACAGTGACAGGTATGGTTCCTGACATTCCAAAGTTCACGGAGGCAAGGAAACACCCAAGCGAAAGCAATGCCAGCTGTTACTTACAGACGGAGTCTAATGTGCAGCCAGACCTTTGAACAAGAACAGAGCACTGAAGTTCCCTGGGTAGGAAACAAAATAAAACAAACAAAATACTTGCAAACAGCTGAGGCTGGGACCTGACCAAAAGCCCATGCTTTTCCATAGGCTTCGGATCAGGGCGCTGGAGCTTGGAGGAGCTAGGAGCAATGGAGCTTGTTGGAGCAATGGAGCTCCATGAAGTAGGAATGGCAGCCTGGCATTAGGTTTCAACCCTTAAAAAATGACAATCTGGGGTGGAGGAGGCTCCAAGTGGGAGAGGAAGTGCTGGTCCAGCTGCAGATCCTGTATCGAACCCCGAGTAGCAATGGCTGCAGGAAAGCAGAGCTACAGCCATGATTATCTTACCTAAACCATCCCTTTCACAGCAGAGCCTGTTCTGGGCTCCAGGACCCTGATCTTAGGGTCATTTCCTCTTATGAGCACATCACCCATTTCCCTTGTAATCTGCAGGCTCTGGTGGGTACTGCTGTGAGTCTGAGGGAAAGGCCCAAGCTATGGAATCTGATATTCGCTTTGGGAAACCAATGCTAGGTAAGGATCTCCCAGTCCCACTCTGGGAATGCTTCACCAGACCCTGTTCCTTAGGGGAACTGTGTCCTTGCCACAGAAAATGTTTATCCAGCTCCTTCCCTGCTCAGACCCCTGGCTCAGGGCAGGCCACGGAGACTGTTGAGGAAGCTTTTGGGAGCAGCACAGGGGTTTTTTTTTTTGACATTTTTATCATTTTAAATGGGAGGGAACAAGGCAAATACACCTGGAGGTTTGGCTCATCACCCATGTTTATTATTTGCATTACAGTAGCATGTAGGGCCCAATCATGGACCAAGGGCCTGCTCTGCTGGGTGCTGGACAGACACATAAGAGGAAGGCCAGTCCCTGCCCTGAGAAGACTGGGTACCTCAGGAGGGAACACTCAGCACAGTCAATGCTGTGCTTTGTGGGACATTTCTGGTGCCTTTGTGGCATTTGGCACTGGAGCAGAATGAGCATCAGTGACATTGTTTCTCAGGAACCGTGAACCTAATGGATCCTGCAGACCTCTCTGTGGAGGCTGTCCTCCAAACGTAGAGCTCCTTGCATAGGTGGAAGGGAATGCCACCATGCTCCCCTGTTCAGGACAATGCAGAGGGATCTCCAAGGGGGCCAGGCTCAGTGAACATGGAGAAGAGGTGGAGGGGAGGGGTGGGTTGCACCCTCAATGGCACAGGGAATTCATAGGAAAGATAATGCAGCAGAGTCCCTCCATGCTGGGCGATTGGTGTGGAGAGGTGGGGGGGGGCAACCGTAGGCTTAGGATCCTTTGTATTTTGGGTCTGATGGAGCTGGAAGCAGTGGGGTCACAATACCTTTTGGGGGAGTCTTGGGTCAGCTGGACTCTCTGCTTCTTCCCCAGGGGGTCAGGAAGAGGTAACCTGCCTCCCCACCTTCAACTCCATAATGGGAATCTACCTTCCCCCAGCCCCTCCTGGGGGTATTGCTGCAGGAGGGGATGATCTGGACACATGGTAGGCAAGACTCAGGCTTGTGATTTCAGCCTTCATTAGTCTGTTCTTTTCTGAGCGAGCCAGTGAGCCAAATTCAGAAGTGATACAAAAGGTGGTATAAGTTAGATTGACTACACCAGTGCTTCCACTTCATTCCCCTAGACTCCCTCAAACCTCAGCAAATAGGTCGATGTGGGAGAGGGGCCTAGCTTACATCGCCTTATGCAGCATCACTGATGAATTTGGCCAGGTTAGAGCAGGGGACTGGTAGTCTGCACTGCTGGGTTCTCCTAACAACTGCTTTGCCAGTGACTCACTTTGTGATGTTAGCCAGGTCATTTAACCTGACTGGACCTTAGTTACCTACTGGGAACATGTGTATAAGTCTTGTTAAAAAAATAAAACATCCTCCCAATTTCTACAATGCTCATCTCCACCTGTAGCAGAGCTAGTGCAAGATTCAGAGCCTGATTCTCCATGGCCTTATATCCCATATAAATCTTTACAACTGTGCAACGTGGGTGTAAAATGCTATCCCCCTGCTCCATGGATATTACAAACCCATGATGCCCAGGGGACATGACATATAAATTGGGATCTACCAAATTCACAGTCCATTTTGGTCAATTTCATGGTCATAGGACTTTAAAAATCATAAATTTCATGATTTCAGATATTTCAATCTGAAATGTCATGGTGTTGTAACTGTAGGAGTCCTGACCCAAAAGGGTGTTGTGGAGGGTTGTTACAAGGTTATTGTAGGGGTGTCGTGCCTACTGCCACCCTTACTTCTGTGCTGCTGCTGCTGGCAGTACTCCCTTCAGAGCTGGGTGGCTGGCCAGCAGCTGCCACTCTCTGACCACCCAACTCTGAAGGCAGTGCCAAAGTAAGGTTGGTAACACCATGACCCCCTTACAATAACTGTGTGACTCCCCCATGACCCCCTTTTGGGTCAGGACCCCCAGTGTGAGAAACACCAGTCTCTGTATAGTATAGGGTAAAAGTACACAAAAGACCAGATTTCACGGCCGTGATTTTGGTAGGGCCCTGCCTATAAAGTATGAGGCCATGGGGAATGAATCTTCTGGACCTTTTCTAAGCATCCTCCCCTCTCTCTCACCATTCTCTTCCTCCTTCTCTCCAACAGAGGACAGATTGCTTGTGTACAGCTCTCGGGATAGCACTTCAGTTCCACTATACACTGTGTTTCTCTTTGTTATGATCCTCTCCAGTGTCCTCTGAGTGTCCTTAAAGCTGCTGATTTCTTTTGCATCTTAAGAAAATATTTTAAAGGTGTTTGAGATAGTTTTCAATGGGGGGAGAGGTCAACTTTTGGTACAGGCACAATGTCAATGACCTAGTCAGAGCAAATTCTGAGGAGGGGACTGGATGGCTCCTGGGGATGGAAACAGGATACAAACCCTCTCACCTCTAAGTATCTGCCTTGGTCACAGTCGTGATTGCTGTGCAATGGCCTGTATGGACACAGTTGGGGATTCAATTCACATTCCCCAAGGGCAGATTTCTCCAGTACAAAACCATAGTTGGGGCCCTTCTTAAATCTCAGAGGGCAAGTCAAGCACAGAAGGGCACCGCATTCCAGTGTCACATCACACATAAACACCACCCCCGCCCTTGCCCTGCCCCTCTCTCACCAGGATGACACAAACTGATGGGTGGAGGTGGGGAAGCTTGAATTGTTGCTGCTGCCCATGTCACACCTATTCTGAGGCCATCGGTATCCCGAGCTGTCAATCCAGCATTTCCACTGGCACTAAGGGCTCTCTCACTATGATGGATAAATCCAGTAATACAGGTTGGCTTGGGAAGGCTCCCACTAGACCAGTAACGACATTGGCTCCTGTCAGAACAGAAATCCACAGGGTCAATAATGGTTTGCAATGAAAGGAGTTTAGTGCTGGCGAACCCCCAGCAGGTGCCCTCACAGAACAAGGTGAGGAGCAATCTGAGTTTCTCCCAGCAGCCCCCCCCCCCCAGCTGCACCATGACTAGGAGAAGCCCATAGCACAGTCCCCACCTCCACTCAACCCATGGGCTTCCAGCTGAGGTTGCCAACACATTGCGGTGAGGGGGCCTGCCCATCGGGAAGCAAACCAGCAAAGGGCGGAGGGTCCCACCCAGCCCCAATGGGGAATGACCTCCAGTGACTGGTAACTGTCAGCCACCCATCCCCTCACAGCTTCCTGTCAGCGCTGTGCTCACAGCCTCCCTGCTCTGGTTGGCTGGGCACGGGTGTGCAAGACCCTGTCCTGTGCAGCGTGGCTGGGTCCCGGGATAGTCTCTCCAGTCCAGGCGGTCACTGCGGGCTCCCGCCCAGCCCCGGCCGCACCTCCCATGCCCAGATGGTCAGGGCAGACCCCGGGTGCGCGTGGATGTCTCTCCCCACCTGCCCTCTCCAGCCTTCCCAGCGCTGCACAGCCCGGACCCCGGGACAACCCCTCGGGCCAGGCAGCCCCAGCCGCGCACCGGGAGCCTGTGGCTGCCCTGACACCGCTCTGCCGGGACGGGTGCCGCTCGCCCGCCTCCGCCCCCGGGGGGAGCCCACTGCCCGGGCAGGGGACCCCGGGGGCGCGCGCTGCCCCGGCCCGGCCGCCGCACCTGGGCCCATGTTTATTAAGCAGTGTGCCGGTGACGCGGGCCCGGAGTGATGTCAGGAGCGAGCCTGGCAGCGGTGGGCGGACCTAAGGCTGGGCGCTCGGCTCCGCTCCCGCCTGTAGCGCAGGCAGCCGCCCGCTCCCCCCGCCACTCGCCGCCGAGCCGAGCCCGCTGCAGTCCTCTCCGGGCGGCATGGTAAGCGGGGCGCAGGCTCTGCCCGGGCGGGCTGCAGGGGGGCCGGGGGAGCCGAGCCTGCCTCCGCGGCTGACGGGGCAATGCGGAGCGCCCGGGGGCGGCGAGCCAGGGGATCCCCCGGTCGGGCATCCTCCACCCTGCGCTGCCGAGCCCAGCGCCTCAGGCACCGGTTTCTGCCGCCTCCCCCTGCCCCTAACCACCCGCAGCTACCGCTAACTACCCCGTCTCCCTGCCCTGCCTCCCCCCGCCTTCTGCCCCAGCTCACCCTCCCCTACCCACCACAGCACCCTCGTGCCCCGCACACCCCGCCTGCCTTTGGCCCCGGCTCCTGCCTCCCCCAGTCTCTGCACCCAGCAGCTCCCCCTGCATCTAGCGCCCCTCTGCCCCGTCTGCTCCCCTTCCGCTCTGACTCCCCCCATCCCGCAAACCCCTCTCCTTAGTGCGGAGTCCTCCCTGGGGCAGGGCTGGGTCCCCACATCCCCTGGGTGCCCGGTGGTGCAGCTCCTGTTCCCTGCCCTCTTTCCCCCTTGTAGCTTCCCAGATCCTCAACCGGCTCCCCTGGTCCCCGGCTCCCCAACTCCCCCCCGGACCCGCAGATCCCGCTCTCTGACCATCCCCTCTCTGCCCCCCGCACTCCCCAGGCTCTGACTTTCCACCTCCCCCGGTCTGACCCCCCGTCTCTGACCCCCCTCTTGCGTCTCTCCCCAGCCCGTGGCCCGAGGAGCAGCGGCCGGGACTGGACGCGCCGATCTCCGCGGAGCAGCCGGCCAGGGCTCCGGTCAGCGCCTCTCGCTTCCTGTCGGGATGAAGGGGCTTCTCCAGAGCGGGGCGTCAGAGCCTGGCGCCCGCCCGTGAAGCGCCGAGGCCGGGCGGCGGCACCTGCTGTGCCCGGGGCCCCCCATGGGGCGGCGGCGCCGGGGCCCCTGATCGCTCAGCCCGCTCCGCCCGCCGACCGGCCCGCGCCGCCCAGCTCCCAGCCATGGGCCGCCTGCCGCTGCTGCTGCTGGCCCTGCAGCTGCTGGCCCTGCTGCTGGCCGCGCCCGCCGCCGGGCCCCCTCGGGCCAAGGGCAACCGGACGCAGGGCGCGGCCCGCCGGCCGCCCCGCCCGCCCAAGGAGCTGAACCAGACGCTGGCCGGGCCCGGGGCGGCCGCAGCGCCCGGGGCGGTGAGCGGGGGCGGCGGCGGGACGGCCCCGGGCCCGGCGTACGAGACGTGCTGGGGCTACTACGACGTGAGCGGGCAGTGGGACAAGGAGTTCGAGTGCAACAACAGCCAGAGCGGGTTCCGCTACTGCTGCGGCACCTGCTACTACCGCTTCTGCTGCAACAAGCGCGCCGAGAAGCTCGACCAGGGCCAGTGCCGCAACTACCAGAGCCCCGGCTGGATCACCACGCCCGGCCTGCGCCCCGCGCCGCCCGACGGCAACCAGCCCGACAAGTACGACCCGGCCAAGGACAGCACCAACGCCACGGTCTACATCTCCTGCGGCGCCGTGGCCTTCGTGCTGGTGGCCGGCGTCTTCGCCAAGGTGGCCTACGACAAGGCGCGGCGCCCGCCCCGGGAGATGAACATCCACAGGTGAGAGCTCCGTCTGGGACATCCCTCAATCCCCCCCGCAGCCCGCCCCGTCCAGGACACCCCCAGTCCCCACATAGCCCGCCCCGGGAGATGAATATCCATCCACAGGGGAGAGCCCTCCTCCCGCCCTGTTGGGGACACCCTCTGCCCCCTTCTCCCCCCAGCCTGCCTTCTATGGAATACCCCCAGTCCCCATACAGTCTGCCCCCCGGAGATGAACATCTGCCGCTGAGAGCTCTCCGGGACATCCCCTCCCACGCTGGGACATCCCTCTGGGACACCCTCTGGCACCCATGCAGCCCACCCTGGGAAATGAACATCCACAGGTGAGATCCCATCTGGGATACCCCACCTGCCCCTTCAGTACAGTGCCACACAGCCCACCCTGGGTGATGAACATCCAGAGGTGAGACCCTTATGGGACACTCCCCTAACCCCCCAAACAGCCAGCCCCCCTCTGGGACAGCCCCCAACCTCCAACACAGTTCATCCCCTCTAGGACACCCTGTAGCTCCCCACAGAGTCCACCCTGGGAGATGATCATCCACAAGGGAGCGCCCTCCCTCACAGCCTGGCTCCTCCAGGATGCCCTCCTCTGGGACACCCCTAATTCACACACACAGCCTGCTTCCTCCAGGACACCCCTCCCACAACCTCACCCTGGAGATGCTCGTCCACAGTTCAGAACCCCCTCACCAGCTATATGGGGAACCCACCCCAACCCTCCCTCCACAAAGCGTACCCCAGAGATGATCAACCAGAGGTGAGACCCCAGGCCAAAGGAACCTCTCCTCTTTGCCCCCTCCAGGATACCCTCCAGCTGGGATACACTTACCCTAAGCCCCCCAACCTGCCCTGAGGTTGAACATCTGCAGCTCAGAGACACCTCCCCCCTTCCCACTGATACACACACCCTCACCTGCCCCCACCAGGACACCCTGCCCTCTCTGGTGAATGAACATGCGCAGGTGAGAGAGGCAGTGAGACAGCCATGGGGATGGGGAGACCTCCTACTCCCCACCTCCCACCCTTCCATGTGCCCCAGCAGATGAACGCACTCAGGTGTGGGGCACTCTTCGTCCTTCGAGGGACCCACAGCCCCGCACCCTAGGGCACTCTCTTCTCTGCTGCCACTCATCCCACTCCCCTCTGCTTGTCATTCAGCACCCGGGCTGCTGGACAGTTCCCCCCACAGGCCCCTGGCTGCAAAGTCCAGTGCCCTGGCCCCTGCACACAGGCTCAGCCTCTCCTGTCCTCTCCACCCTGCAGGTCTCTCCAAAGCTCCAACCTTTGAAGAGCTGTCTTCTCTCCCTCTGGCCCTCTCCCTGTGCCTTTCTCTGCACCTTCTCACCCCCACGTTCTAGGGTACACTAGGCTCCAAACAACTAAGCCCAAATTCTCTGGCTGGGCCACTGAAAAATTCTCCCCTTGGCCCCTACACTGTCCCGAGCCTGCTGTCAGGTACACTGTCAGGACATTAAAGTGAGAAGTTACAAAAGCAACAAGTGGCCTGTTCCCACTTTGCCTCTTAGCAAATGCCCATGACAGAGATGCCAAAATAGCATGTGGGGGCAAACAATGTCAGGGTATTTTCCAAATAACTCAAGCTACAGGTCCTGTCCTGTGTGTGTGTGTGTGGGGGGGGATGTTAGGGAGGTATCTTAGTGTAATTTTTATTTTAAAATATGACATGCTTAATGCTTTTAATAGAGAAACTGTAGGAGACAAATTTAATACGTTGGGGTGGTGCTTAATATAAGTCCACTTGGAAATATAAAGGTCAGATTTCCATGTCACTTTTCCTTATGGAATGTCCCTAGCTGATTTCAATTTCTGGTGAGCTAGTACCTTAGAATGTTGTCTAGTGCTAGAATGTTGCGTGTTCCTAGAGTTCCCAAATATAAACTTGAAAACAATGGGACACTACTTCTGAAAAATGCATTGGAACACACTCTCATGGGAAGAAGCAAGTGTCTTTGGCAGATAATGCTTAATTTCAATCATCTTAATTAAAAATTCATTTACTGTGTTTATCAAAAAACCCTGACCACATTTTAAACGTTGAAATAAAAATGTGAACCACATAGTTTGGGGAGTGGAAATTTTAGCTTCTTACGCAGAGAAAAAAAAGTAAAGCGGCACAAAGAGGAGTTCTGTATTTGATAGGAGTTTAAAATAAAATATATCTTCTGTCTCTAACTGCCTCTCATATATAAATTCTGAGATCCAAATTCTCAGCTGGCGTACATTGCTATAGCTCCAGTGAAGTCAACAGAGCTATCCTGATTCACACCTGCTGAGGAGCCCCCAACCAAAAACTTGTCTGCTGAAAGGAAAAGCTTTGCATTATTAAGTAAGTTGCAGTGTCTGAATTTGAGCACAGATCCTTTGGTTCTAATTGTTGAACTTTGGTCATTTGTGTCTGTACAATACAGGGTTCCAAAAGCAGTCGCATCAGGAATAGATTCTTGTACTGTATATTTGTTTCTAGGAGGACTAGATTATCAACTGCAGTAAATTGCATAGCTCCACTGGCTTCAGCACAGCTATGCCCGTTTATGCCAGCTAAAGCAATCTGTAATTTATAAGTGTAGGGCATGATCCAACTCCCATTAATGAGTCCCCTTTACTTTAGGGGATGTGGACTTGGGCCCCAATAATGGTCTATCTTCCCACTAACTGGAGGTGTTTTGAAATCCAACGCTTCCCCTGATGTTATTTTTGCTTGTGTACTCCTGTACCCATTGGAATAATAGGCAGTGTTGCTAGACTTGTCTAAGTTATTCTTGTCATTTCCATTCCTTTGATGCCTCCTTTGCTTTATTTAGATAAGTACTGGTAAAAATGAATCACCTGCGTGTGGATGAGGGGTATGAATGGCAGATTGAGTGCTTGAAAAGCTTGATTTCCAGTGCATTTTAAAGAACTGTTTGACTTTTATTATTATAATGTGGTAGCTGATAAAGATTATACCTCTCATAGATGTTTAACCTAAATTTGATCAACATGGCACACAGGTTTAAATATTATGAAGCATATCTCCAACTGATAGGGGGATGCATGGTCTATGGAATTTTGCTGTTTGCATCCTAAACATAATGTAAATTTATAGAATAGAACTGTGCACCTTTTGTCCCTGAGAACTACAGCTGAATGATGGGAATAGTGAGGAAAAAACAGTGTAGTCAGGTATATACATACATTTGGGGCCATGTCAATCTGAGTTGTGTTTAACATCTGGAATAATGCACTGGACAGATGTCAGTTTACATTAAATATTAGGGTGTGCATCCCACCAAAATCTTCCAAGTGAGGTGAATGACAGTTTACACAGAAATCAGAACATTCCCAGAAATAGCTCAAGATGGGCCCAATTCTGCCCCACTGAAGTCAATGACAAGATTCCCATTGACTTCAACAGGAGCAGGATCAAACCCTAAAATACAATTTGCAATGAAAAGCTACAGAGGGTGGTTTAACAGAGCAGTGTGCAGATGCCATGTGAGAACTGAGAAAGTTTGCAGCTGTCTTTTCCAGCAGCAGCAGCATTAGCCCATTTAGAAGAAGCTTTTCCGTAGCTAACAGGCTCATGTGTGGCTTTGGATAGAATGGCTGGTTTATGCATGCATCACTACCATAGGAAACAAGTGGCTGACTCTTCATTGGGCTATATGCATGTGCATCTCACAACTGAAAATTTGATCTTGGTTTTCTTTTAAGACCCCAGGATGATACCTGTAAAGTAATTAGTGGTGCCTCTGTGGTTTTCAAATAAGCAAGCACAATGACAATATTATGGTTGATTTGTAAAAATAACATGTCTGGATAAGCAGAAGCTAAAATACACCCAAAACTGTGGAAGCAGTTGGACTATTTCAAATGAGTTGACTTTTAGAATTTTTAAAAAATCTTTCTGCCTAACCATGAACAACTGACTCGTGGCTTGGTCTCACCTCACCACTCTGGAGTTATGCAGTCATCACTAATGCATGGTGTGCTCTAGATATAAACTGCTGCTGATTTCTAACATTTTTGTCTAACCAGTGTTTTCTCTTCGATTTCCCTGCAAACACATGTGCGGGGATGATGGCAATTTCTTTCTGCATGGGCATTTTTAAATTACATATGGCCGTGTCTTCATTTAAATGAAGAGAGCCAGTTACAGAATCCTTGATGACAACAAAATAGGAAGCTCAGTTGTTTTTAAAAGCCAGAATCTGTTTCTGGAGCATATATGGATGACCCAGAAACTCCTCTTCTGGGAGTCATGACCCCAAATCCCCATGTTGCAGTACATAAATAATTCAATACTAGTAGTATTGCCCCATGACTCCTATTTAGCGTTCAGCAGAACTAACTGCTCCACTCATTGCTTCAGGGACAGTGCGAAAACTCTTTATATTTCTGTGGCCAGATCTGAGAAATTTACCAGACTGGTATCCTGAGGACTAAAGCACCTCCTCCACTAGCCAGAGCCGGATAAGAAAGACAAGGGTGGTTATGGTTGCACTGGGGTACCAGCAAGGTCCATACCTTGATAAGAAGCTCAGATCTGCTCTCCCTGCCTCCCCCAACTGCTGAGAAAAAGGGAGACTGCTTGGACTCTACCAGGGTGCTAGCCCTGGATCCTGCTTGGAGGCTCCATCTTTCACATCCACCTCTGGCTACTACATGTCTGATAAATTTGAAGCTCTATTCCATTCTAGCTGCACACATTGAATAGTAACTCAAGAGCCTGCTGCTACTGGGAGAGCATAGGGTTGCCACTACTCTACCCATCTTCCATGTCATCTTTGCTGGTACGAGGAGGGAAGAGGAGAGATGTTTCTGCTACTCTACCTCTCCCCACCTCTGGTTTTTACATCCTCCTTTCCATTGATAAATCCAGTGGCTGTTTTTATAGCTGCTCATTGCTGTCCCAAGTAGCAGCAGCAGTAACCGCAGTGAAATGAACCACTCTCTTGTCAATTTAACTCGTCTGCTTTGAGGCAAAGCTCTGA